GATTTGGGCTGTACTCAGCAAGCGCAGTACAGCCCCATAGTCAGATTGAAAAAAAATCAGTGGATGGCTGTCTACCGACTGGTCGGCAGACCGCCGACCGGCCGGCCCTACCGGTCGGCTGCAAAACGGTCGGTGGTCGGGGTTGCCGGTCGGCAGGTATGCAACCCTGCCTAACTGGCAAAAGTTGTGGCAGCAAGCAAGGTGCGTCAGAGAAAAATGGCTGGGAAACATACCAGTGGTTTTAAGTTCTTGCACTCAATCACACACACAGACCATTCAAATTGATCGCATAGAGCTTGACAGTTAGGTCTGATCTGCATGCAGACCATCCTGGCAAAGAGTCAACAGCTGTCAAATGTGCCTGCCACTGCTGGTAAAAATGTCTTGTTCTATTCTGTTCTATTCTGTTCTATTCTGTTCTATTCTGTTCTATTCCAAAAGCAGAAAGCCCCTATCATTGTATTGCATTTCCCCTATCATTGTATTGCATTTCATGCTTGTCAAGTTGACTGATTCCGGCATGATTTGAACTCCTCATCTGTTACTAACAGTAATATGTGTCCACCATCCAGCAACGTTTGTTTGAAGTGTGAAAGAAATGTCATGGTGCATCACATATCGCTTTCTGCAAGTTTCTGGACGTTTCTCCTGGGTGATGGAGCAGGGAAAGGGAGTGAAAAAATTGCAAACAGTCTAAGGCAAGTTAACCTCAGTTAGTCATAAGCAAATACTAGAAATAAACAACTCGAAACAACGGGTAAGGACTCTACCTTTCATCCAGCAGGATAGGTTCAGATCTCGGCACCTATATTCCGACATGGTAAGAGAAGGAAGAAGTGGCACTTAACTGTGTGAGAGATCCCCCATCATCACATATCATGCAAAGCCAATCTCCAGGTGCGTTCTGGTTGTCGTCTTCCGGACTCGCACTCCTCTTGTGAGCACTGTTGGTACGTCTCCTGTCGATACCTTCCCTGCAATCCTCATCGTCAGAAGACAACACAACTCGCTTCCGGCGGATTCTAGACCGAGCCACAGACATCGCTTCACAGTCTGGAAAATCTTCCGGACACACCCCTGCGTGCTCTCTTGGTCCCATACTCGATCCACCTCCCTCCCTCTCACCTTCCCCCGCACACACTGCGTCCGCGCACACCCTTGACATGGTCTCCGATCCTCTCGACTCATTTGCACCTTTGCGGCATCTCCCTCCCTCCTCGTCAAAGATGCCGTTGAGCGTAACTTCACCACCACCACTATCGCTATTATTGCTCAAGCAGACATCACAGGAGATACGGCAGTCGTCTATACCCTGTGCTCTCTCACATGAATTGCTCCTCACCGGCGAGGTGGATGTTCCTGCAAGCCCTTCAGCGCAGCCATTGGTTGCACAAGGGGCATGATCATTGACCTATTACAGACATGAGAGGACGCAACTTATTCATTAAAGTGGCCTATAAAGAGAGGTGCCACTAGCTAGCCATACAAAAAAATAAAAAAATAAAAAATGATACAACAGTACAATTTACAACCAGATTACTTGTTTTTTAATTAAATTATTACACGTAAACCCGCCGCAGCTATGCTGCGGCAGGGGGAAGGCGGGTAATTGAAGATGGGAATTTCTAACCAGAAAGTGAATGAAGACAGCAGCAGAGTAGGTCGCCGCGGCCCAGTACCAGCCCCACCCCAGGCACGGCCATTATCTGGCCCCGGTGACATTGAGGGCCTGGCTGCACTACTCTCCAAATGCACAAAATGAGAATGAATCCACTGCTAGAACATGGAAAGATATTGCCATCTTTTTTGTCTTGTGTGCATGTGGAGAGTAGTGCAGCGAGGCCCTGAGGGTGTTTGCGCGATTTGACTCACTTTCTTCTTCAACTCGCATGCATGCAAACAGATGGAAATGTACACTGGCGCTGTGCGCCCACACAAAGCTCGAAGATATTCAAGTCAAGAACACAGCTCAGATACAAACTTGCTTTCAACTGGCTACGGGGCCTCAGCGCCCAACATCCTTCCCTTCTCGTGTTCCCGACCAACTGTTCGCACACACTCACACTTAACTCTGGATCTCCCTGGATACTCCGTGCACACTCACTCTGTGTCTCTCACGCACATACACACTAGTACCTATCACTAGCTATGGCAGCTATGGCCGCCCGCTATCTCTACTACAAACAGCTATGGCTGCTCTGACTCCACTTCTGCCCACTTTGACTTCGGGCAATTTGCAGACCACCTCGCACAAGACACTGGGACAGCGCTTCCGCATGGCTCACGCAGGAATGAATGAATGGCTGGTCGCTGCTCTTGATTTATACTTCTGTTGGACGCTGGTCTGCTCCTTTTCCACCGGGCCCTTGGTACACACAGTCCCACATGGTTTTTGCTGACTGGACAAAGTGAGACTGGGACTGGGTACCATTGACTAAGCAAAGTTGGACTCACCACTTGCCCACTTGCCTCTAGTCTGCTGTGAGCAACGTTCGAAAGGCCACTTCCGCACCTTCCGGAAGCCTGCGGACTTGGCCTTTCGGAACTGTAGCAGCTACGACCTTGACCTTTCAGAACTGTAGCAGCTACGGCCTTGACCTTTCAGAATTGCTACAGCTACAGACTCTACACAACTATGACCCCTACTCGAGAGGCCTAGGGTTCAAGACCCGATAGCTACATCGACCTACGACAGACAACAACTAAGTCCTAATACGCAGGTCACGGGTTCAAACACACAGGGGTACTGTACACGGGTGAGGTGAGGTCTAGGGATCGAGCCCTGGGATCTGCATCTGCTACTGCAAAAGGTAAAAACTGTTTCACTCCCGCCGGCCTAAATTCAAGGTCCTCCGAGAATGCTTCAGTCCAAGGCAGGACCTTTACCTTTCCTATCTCTCTCATAGGCTCGAACTATATCGGGAGTGGTCTCTAGAAGTTCTGTTTGTGTGAACCAGCGGTCATCCTCGGGTTCCCGAAAAGAGAATCTAACTTTATACTGTTTCTGTGGACGACCTCTGCCTCCCGTTCTGAAGACATCTTCATCTACTATGCCGTCAATGTCGTACCTTCCATCCATGTCCGGAGGGATCATGGATCTTCGTGATGGAAACTGTTGACTTGTGGTGCAAGGCAACAACTTTGAGACATGAAAAACTGGGTAGGTGTGGAGGTGCGCTGGAATCTCTATTGTGTAGGACGGTCCATCCTCTCCGCCCTTAACTTCTAGAACTGGCCACAGTCCTCTGTAAGCAGGTAACAGTTTTTGTGAGATGTTCTCCTTAGGAGGCAAACTCTTTTGACTTGACCCAGACTAAGTCGCCTACCTGAAACTGTGACGGGCGACGGTGCTTATTGGCCTGTTCTATCATCTTATGCTGGGCCTTCCTGAGGTTGTCTACAACGGTAGCTATCTCTTTCTCATGCTGTATCGCGAACTCCCTAGGACCGGGCGGTAGCCTCTGGATCTGATTCCGGTTCAGTCCTTCAAACGGTCTACGCAGCCTAAAGGACTTATGTAACTCGTTTGGAGTGCGGCAGGTTGCTAAGTGCATGCTATTGTTGTATGCGCTGGCTACCTTTGGGAGCATCTCATCCCAATTGACTTGATAAGGTCTAATATACATTCTTAGAACTTGCTGCAGGATCTTGTTCATCTGTTCAGTCTGACCGTTAGTCTCTCATCAACCGTTAGCGGCCAGATGACATCAATAATCTAGAGCCATAGACTCTCGTCAACTCCTGCCAGTTCTGACTAGTGAACCAAGTATCTCTATCACTAACTATAGACAGTGGTAACCCAATGGTCGAAGAACTTTTGTATTACTAAATTTGTACGTGCCTCTGAAGGCAAGGGAACAAATACTGCATACTTGCTAAATCTATCCGCTATAACAATGACTTGGCTCCTGCCATGCCTACTCTTGACTCTTGCATCCATAAAGTCGATGGACACAAAATCTCCGGGCCCATCGGGAATAGGCAAGGATCTGAGAAGACCAAGAGGGCCTCGCGTAGTGGTCTTATTTCGCTGGCACACCTTAAAACTGCGTACATACTCTATGCAGTCAGCCTTCATGCCAGGCCACATATACACACGCATAAGGTTGGCTAATGTCTTCTGGCAACCGAAGTGTCCCTCTGTGTCGTGACATTCCCCTAGGATCAAACTACGGATTTCCTCGCTGTTGGGGACACACAGTCAGTCAGCTATGTTAGTCTTCTCGAATAGTAACCCATCGGTAGTGCGGTAATCTGGTTCTGTCTCTGAGACCTCCTTCACTGTCTTGAGGAGGTCACCATAGATAGGATCCTGTGCATATGCTTCGTTAACTTTTTGCTGCAGGTCTCTCTCTATGTCTAGATAGTGTACTAAAGCTCCAAAGTAGTCTGCTCTTCTACTTAGAGCGTCCGCTACTACATTGTATTTTCCCTTTACAGGCTTGAGCTCAAAGTCGAACTGGTCTGTTTCTGCGGCCCACCTAGTAAGCTTAGGTGTCATCTTGGCCTGTGTCTTCAACCACCTCGGCGTCTCGTGGTCTGGATACACTTTGAAGTGCCTCCCAAGCAAGTAGTGTTTCCAATGGTCTAATGCTTGCCTGAGAGCGTAGAGTTCCCTCTCATAGGTTGATGTCGTTACCTTCTCTGAAGGCATCCTAGCAGACATGAACTCTACGGGTCTATATCGATTGCCATCGTCTTGCTGTAAAACAGTGCCTACGCCATACTGGCTCGCGTCAGTAGTAACAATGAAAGGCAAGGACGGATCGGCTACCTTGAGGATAGGGTACTCTATCAAAGCCCGCTTCAACTTCTTCAGGGATGATGTACAATCTTTGTCCCATTTCCAGATCGCCTCTTTCTTTAGCAATTTGCGAAGGGGTGCAGTGATGGTAGAAAAGTTCCTAACGAACTTTCTATAGTAATTTGCCGACCCTAGGAACGACAGCAACTCAGTCAGCGTGCGGGGGGTCGGCCAATCTCTAATCGCTGCTATTTTACTGTCCTCAGGCTTTATGCCATCTCCATCTAAGACGTGGCCCAAGTACAGGACTTGTGTCTTGGCCCACTCACACTTCTTCGCGTTGATTTTGAAGTTAGCTTCCCTCAACTTCTCCAAGACCTGCCTCAGATGGCCCTCATGCTCCTGGAGGGTCTTACTAAAGACTAAAATATCATATAGATATACGACTACAAACCTATCTAACCAAGGCCTAAATAAATCATTCATACAATGTTGAAAGGTAACTGGGGCATTGGTTAGTCCAAAAGGCATTACTATAAACTCGTAGTGCCCATATCTAGTTCTAAACGTCGTCTTGTGCTGATCATCAAGATGGACCTCTATTTGATGATAGCCTGACTTCAAGTCTATCTTTGAGAAGTATTTGCAAGCTTGCACCCGATCTAGCAGATCATCTATACGGGTCAGTGGTTCTGCATTCTTCACTGTGATGGCGTTAAGACCTCTATAGTCAATGCACATACGAAGCTCTCCCTCCTTTTTGGGGACAAAAAGAACAGGTGCTCCAAATGGAGACGAACTAGGCCTAATCCAACCCTTTTCGAGGAGCTTGTATAGCTGCTTGCATAGCTCCTCTAACTCTCGTGGGGACATTCTATAGACGGCCCCCTTAGGAGTCCTACTACCAGGCTCTATCTCGATGCGATGCTGGATTGGCCGCGACACTACACCTATAGGCGGCTCAGACAAGTCTGCGCACTCCTCCAGCAACTTGGCAATAGTTGGGTTAGTGGGTTCCTCTTCCTTAGGCTTAGTAAGAGGCTGTACATAGGCTACAAATTGCTCCTTCTTCACTAATCCCGCAAACGTGGGAGCACTGAGGCAACAATGTGCCAGAGAGTTATCTACTACTGACACAGGCGGGCTGTCTTCTCTTCGCCTGATGGACTAGGGAGCCTACAATCATGCTCTCTTAAATGGAGTGTGGCCCCTGTTGCCTCTCCCTAATCCATTCCCAAAACTATGTCAAATGGGAGACTGTCTTCTACGAGGAGAGTCAAGGAATGGAGGACTTTCTCTACCTTTCTATCCTTCTCTTGGTGAAAGTACGCCTGGACTCCCTCGACATAGTCCTCGATTCGCATGGTGCGATTGTTTGCGAGGATGCTAACTACAGTGTCTGCTAACTTTTGGACTTTCAAATTAAGCTTCAGCTTCTGCAGAGCCTTCTTGCTAATATAGCTGCGGGTGGCCCCACTGTCTATAAGGGCCCCTACTCTACCTCTGAAAATCTCGACATCTACCAAAACTAGTTGTCCTTTCGCATCTTTCTTCATTTTGGCCCAGGCAAGCATTCTTTCCTTCAACTCTTCTGCCACGCTTGTGAGGGAAGTGCCTAGAGAGAGACTAACACAAGCAGTCTGTGGACAACTGTCTAGGCACTGGCCAGCAACCTCTGCCATAGACACATGTGGTTTGTGAGTTTCTCTGTGGTACGTGCACTCTTCTCCACATGGTCTAGGGGTAGGGGCAGTTGCAACACCTACTGGCGATTGCCTTTTGCTGCCTATGCAGCAAACCAGAATTCTTTATATTAAGGGCGGTATTTTATGATGTGCCCAGGATCACCGCAATAGATGCACTGATCCTCGTTTATTCGCCTTTGCCACACTGTCTGTTCTAAGCCCAGTGATTCCCAGGGACGGCCCTCAGGCCGACCAGGGTGCCATCCACCCGACCTAGGAGGTGACCGACTAGAGCGACAACGGTTTGACGGGGGACCTTGACCCCTTCCTCCCGCTTGGCGGTTTCCCCTGTCGCCAACCCCCTGGCCGCTTTGCCCTCGACCACCAGAGGCCTGGCCCCTTTGGCCTTGGCCCCTTCCTTTCCCTTGCGGCCTCCCTCCAACCACGACAACAACATAGGTCCTCCCCTGGCCAGTGTCGTTGTCCTCCTCATCAAGGTCCCACTCAATCTCACTGTACGGGAGCTCTTCTAGACCACCCTCATCTAATGTAAGAATTAAGGTTATCTTTAGCCTTGACCTGACTGGTGATGCTGTGGCCTCTCCACTTTTTCCCTTTGGCGAGGTCCTTATGCCGGAAAGTGGTAACTGGGATAGACTGAGCCTCGAAGGTAACAACCTCCCTACTCAGCGTATCATACGTCATGTTGGGTTGCTGCTTTCTATCAAAGAAATGCCCATGCAACTTCTCAAGCATAGCGCGGTAAAATAATTGGACTAGTTGGGGCTCAGTGACCCCATGGCCAAGAATGGCGACGAGCTCATCCATGGCGGCCTTCAACTCCCTAGCACTTTTCCACTGTCTCGTGTGGACAGTTTGCAACTTGTAAGAAGCCTTGAGGCCCCCCTGGTGACATCTGCAAAACGCTCTCGCAGGGCGCTGAGGAATTCACTGAGGGGGTAAGGATGGAGTACGAGACCATATCATTTTCGCATTTGGCAGCACGAGCTAATGATCTGGCAAAACTGGCTGCTTCATCTTTAAGGGCATGAAAGGCCACAAGGACCTGGTCCTCGGGCGCAATATCCTGAAGATGCACATAGGAGTTGACATTCGCCTCCCAATTGTCAAAATCCTCTTCAACTTTCCCACTATAGTGATCACGAAACTTAACCTTTACGCGCTCTCTACGTGGTCGGGCCTCTTCTTCACTGAGGCCCACTATCTTGGCACCTTTAATGGCACCCACGCAAAACTTTTGCGTGCCTTCCATAATTGTGCGCAATTCAGTGCCTACATGCATCATCATATCCTTTGCAAAATCTTTAAAATTGGTGCGCATAGATTGCAGCGTAATACCGTGGCCCTTTAAATAGGGCAACTGTTCTTGCTGCGCCTTCAGCATTACCTCTACACTCTGTGATAGGATCTCCACCTTCCTTTGGAGATCGATTTGCGCTGCCAACTTCCCATGTTCTACTTCGGCTTCCCTCAAATCCTCCTCCATTTTCTCGTCCGCCTCCAATCTTCTTTTCCTCCCACGGGCAAGGCCGAGTTTCCACTCTAACTTTTTCTCCTCCTCCATCACCTGCCGCTTCATGGGATTCTCTTCACCCTCCAAATCCCTAGCAAATTGTTCCCGCTCTGCCTGAGGGACAAACAACAATGCTTCGTCCTCCTTCCCCAGGGCCAAGTTGGCTACCCACTCGTTCACCAACCTCTCCATCTTAGCTTTTACCTCCATCTGGGCTTCTGTCTCCCGCGCTCCACTGGATTTCCCTCTCTCTTTTGTTCTTCCTCTCCTTTCCAGTGGTACCTCTACTTCTTCTTCTTCTGTCTCTGACTCTATTGCCGCCAATTTCTCCTCCTGTTCCTTTTTCCACTTCTGAAGCTCCTCCTCCATTTGCTTCTGCTTGGCCTTATCCTCCTCCATCAAGGCCAGCGTCTTCGCCTGCTTAATAAGCTCCTCTTCTCCCTCTTCTCCTTCTTCTCTCTCAGGATGGTGGCGGCTTTCTCTTCTTGCTCTTTGGTGTACGGGGTGGTACTATTTTGCTGCGCAGGTCAACCATGGTGTCAGATGTACAACCGAGTGACAGTTCCACTCCTCACCACTTAGACTTCCACCCCGTGACTGACTTAACTGACCGACTGACTCTCTATGGACCACAGAGCCTTACCCTTCGATACAGCCAAGTTACCACGGCCGACGGAAGCTTTCACCACCACTGTCCTCTACAAACCAGACCCATATGCCCTGCACCTGCGATCAATCCCACTTGGCTTTCTCTCCAGATCAGGACCCTATCAACTAGGGTCACTAGCCTTGACCTACTCTAAGGTTGTCACTACAGAGCTCTACTGCTGATCAGGAGGCATTTAAGGAGATCCCCCATAACTCCTCAGGAATTCTTTAACGTCGTAGTCAGGATGACGCGATCAGCAGAGCTCTCTCAACACTTAGACAGCTGGTTGTGCAGCCCACAACTCGGATGTTGGGCCTCCCATGCCACACTAAGCAGCCCACTGGTCTGTACCGGTCCTTGCAAGGGTTTGTCCTCCGGGTCAGTCAGTCGTCAGACACGGCCTTTAGCCCTACGCAGTCCATGTGGGTTTGGTCAACGAAGCTCTATGACCTCATGCACGAAGTTCCTATCACCTGGACAAAAGAGACTCAATGCGAGATGAACAAACTCAGCAAGTACAATGGGGTGACTGCACATCCATAGGGCGAGGGGATAGGCTGAAGGCTTGGCGAGAGTATACCAACTCCCGCTTGGTCAATTTCGTGATCAACCACCCCGGTCAACACTGGTCAACGCTTGGTCAACTCGCCGATCAATGCCTTGATCAACCCTCGACTCGGCTATGGCTGTCGACCCCTTTCCCTTCACTTCCCTCTTTCTCTCTCCTTACTTTCTTCTTCCTTCACCCCTACTATGGCTTCTCTCTTCTTCGTCTCTCCCTCCTCCTTCACAAGTCTTCTTTCTTCTTCGTTCACTCCGTTTCCGAGCTCGGCGGCTATGGCCGCCACCTTCTTCCTTTGACCTCACAACAATCTTGTATCGCTCCTCTCTCTCTCTCTCTCTCTCTCTCTCTCTCTCTCTCTCTCTCTCTCTCTCTCTCTCTCTCTCTCTCTCTCTCTNCTCTCTCTCTCTCTCTCTCTCTCTCTCTCTCTCTCTCTCTCTCTCTCTCTCTCTCTTTGTCGTTGTCTTCTTTGCAGGTACACCACACCTTGCTTCGTCGGCGCAACTATGGCGGACCCTCCTTCGACGATGCACTTCTGCTATGGCTCGTGGAGTAGCGGGAACCAGCGCCGATACCAATGCAATCAGACTCACTTTCTTCGTCAACTCGCATGCATGCAAACAAATGGAAATGTACACTAGCGCTGTGCGCCCACACAAAGCTCGGAGATACCAACTTGCTTTCAACTGGCTTTGAGGCCTCAGCGCCCAACGTCCTTCCCTTCTCGTGTCGACCAACTGTTCGCACACACTCACACTTAACTCTGGATCTCCCTAGATACTCCGCGCACACTCACTATGTGTCTCTCACGCACATACACACTAGTACCTATCACTAGCTATGGCAGCTATGGCCGCCGGTTATCTTTACTACAAACAACCATGGCTGCTCTGACTCCGCTTCTGCCCACTTCGACTTTCGGCAATCTGCAGACCACCTTGCACAAGACGTTGGGACAGCGCTTCCGCATGGCTCACGCCGGAATGAATGAATGGCTGGTCGCTGCCTCTTGATTTATACTTTTGTTGGACGCTGGTCTGATCCCTTTCCACAGGGCCCTTGGTACACACAGTCCCACATGGTTTTTGCTGACTGGACAAAGTGAGACTGGGACTGGGTACCATTGACTAAGCAAAGTTGGACTCACCACTTGCCCACTTGCCTCTCGTTTGCTGTGAGCAACGTTCGAAAGGCCACTTTCGGACCTTCCGGAAGCCTGCGGACTTGGCCTTTTGGAACTGTAGCAGCTACGACCTTGACCTTTCAGGACTGTAGCAGCTATGACCTTCACCTTTCAGAATTGCCACAGCTACAGACTCTACACAACTATGACCCCTACTCGACAGGCCTAGGGTTCAAGACCCGATAGCTACATCGACCTACGATAGACAACAACTAAGTCCTAATACGCAGGTCACGGGTTCAAACCCACAGGGGTACTGTACACGGGTGAGGTGAGGTCTAGGGATCCAGCCCTGGGATCTGCATCTGCTATTGCAAAGGTGAAAACCGTTTCATTTGTTTTAGAACATGAGGGATGCGCAGCATTCGGGGGGCCATCGGCCAAGGCATCAGCACGCCATCGGATCCTTTGTAATTCAGAACTATTTTATTGTGGTCGCCGCTGGATTCGAACTCACGTGTGCAATTCAACAGTTTCATGTGTGCATCAACTGAGCAGCCTGCCAACGTGCAAAATGAGAAGGAATCTTCCGCAAGAACAAAGGAAGATGCACCGCGACGGACAGATACATTGAAAAGAAATCCCGGTGTGAGTATGGACTAAGGAGCTGTCAGATGTAAATGTCGACGAGAGAGAGAGAGAGAGAGAGAGAGAGAGAGAGAGAGAGAGAGAGAGAGAGAGAGAGAGAGAGAGAGAGAGAGAGAAATGGGAATGAGTCTGTCGCTAGAACATCTGCCACATTTTCGGTCTTTGGCAGTGTATATTTCCATGCTGTGGCAGTGGATACCTCCATGTTCTAGGGGAAGATTCAATCCCATTTTGCTCATTTGGTGAAGCGTGGCAATGTCGGTCTGTGTGTGCCTGTGTGAAGGATGGCAATGTCGGTCTGTGTGTG